TTGAAATCAGTGAATTATTGACCTTCAAGCCTTTTTCTGAAAAGGACTTTGTATGGGACCGATCATTACGAAATTCAGAGCTCTTTTTGGTGGTACGGTTGTATGGGGGCTATGTGAAATAATGAACCGATTTCGCGACCGAAAGAGGTGTGGATTAACCAGTTATTTGTTCTTCACAATTCCTAGAAACGCAAAAATAAACACGCAGCATTCTGATTGAATGAAAGTTTATAAAAGGGGAGTTTCTGGTACTTTTTCGTTATTCAAGTGGTACTTTTTGGTTTTTCTGCAATATTGAACCTAGAATCATACATATATGATCCTGATGGAATGAAAATTTATAAAAGTAAAATTTTTGGTACTTTTTTGTTCTTCAATTAGTACTTTTTGAATATTTTTTAATATTAAACATTGAATTAAACACACAGCGTCCTGATTGAATGAAAATCTATAAAAAGGGGACTTTCTGGTACTTTTTCGTTTTCCAACTGGTATTTCTTGAATTTTTTGTAATAAAATACTTGCGGACTGTTTTTTTTATAAGATATAAGATTCGATGCAGCCGCATATACCACTCTTCTTACTAGTTTAAAAATATTTTTGTTAAAATTGTTTATAAATGTGATTTGCTGTGGATGATACCGCAAAAAGATGAGGTTGATTCGATGACATTTATCTATTCCCATTTATTGTTGTTGTTGTAACAGCTCAAACTATACACTAATCTAGTTCAGGACTAAAAATTAAGCTACTTCTACTGGATGTATCCATAAATCCATTGGACAAAGTGAAGTAGGGTTGGATGAGCAGTTTTATATGTGTTGGGTGTCATGAGGACCTTGACCGAATGCAGGACATTCGTTGGGGACGGGACGCTCTATGCGGGACCAATAGGCATTAAGCCTGTTGCTCCATCCCGTTCGTAGTTGTGCCAGAATTACTCCTGTTTTCCGCGGTAGGTTTTCTTCTATGTCTGCTATGGGCGGTCTTCAAGTTAGACCTTCATGCGGTATCCTGCGACCGCGGTATTGATGGTGTCTCTATGAATGTCGTTCAAAGCTGCTGTATACTAAGACTGATCTTATGGATCCTGCACATATCTTTGTATGTTCTCCTTTCCCAGGGCATGTTTCTTTGATGAAGACCCCATCTTGGAGTATTGCAATCCCGGGGTATAGAGGTGCTCCAAGCTGCCGGGACTATAAACTGTACATTATCAAATGTATGTCCAACCAGAGCACTAAATAATCTGGTACTACGGGAGGCCAGTTACCCGTAGGACTTTGTACTGGCTGGTCAGTTGGTTGAGGCTCCTACGTAGTGGCTGTGATTTAAACCCAAATTCGCGGGTGTGGCGTGGCTGTGTTGACAATCTTTGGTCGTTGATCGTTGAACTCCGAGTCGTTCCGGTTTGAAGAACCGATTGATATATCGGCTCTAACCAGTGATTGCCTTTTTTCCTCGGGGTTAGATTGAGCTTGACTCATGACACCTGTCATTCCCCAATGGGGCTACTATGGTAGAAGTTTGGATAGTTCGAGTACTTGAGCAAAGTGCTTGTACATGGACCGGCTGAACCATGTAGAAAAATTGCCACCTGCGTGTAAGATACAAAATGTGGCGGTGGTGAGTCGTCAAAGAAGCTCATCCAGTGGTTGAGAAAGACTACCGTGAAATAAGCCGAACACGGCAGGTGTTCACGTAAAGAACTTCGACATTCATTAGTTTTCCTCGTATATAGAAAGATCCTTCCTGATATGCCTCTGGGGAGTATCCAACTGTTTAATGTTAAAGTTGGGATGACTCCTACGATGGTATTCCAGGAGTAACTATTTACTAAATAGTATTTAGTCAACATGACATTGTGCTCCTTGACTGAAGGACCTTCGTTTCCTCGTGCAGATGATGTTCCGAGCTAATTTAAAGGCAGCCCGTTACAGTGTTTAAGACACCTTTGAATGTTTCTCCACTAGGTATCACTGGGCGAAGGTGATCACACTTTAGCAGCATAATTAACCACTGATTGACCAATCGTTTTATAAGTAGATAAGAAGATTTCTTTATCCATACTCTAAGTGCTGTGGGCTAGCGCTATAAGGACCTTGTTTCAACTTCGCAATTTCTGCGTGATTGCTGTGACATGAGCTGAGGAAGTAAAGAGGCTATCAAATGTGTCACCAAGGTGGTAAAAAGTGTTGCTGGTGATAGTTACAGGTTACGCTACGAGATAACCGTTCACCAGAACGCATTATACATCAATGTTGTGGTCCGTTGTCCGCATATGAAATCACCTCTATGCCTTTTGGAGGTGCGGGGAGTTTAAAGAGGTACAAGTTAAACAATAGCGGTAATAATACTCCACCTTGAGGTACGCCTTGTTTAACTCTACGGGGTTTGGGGCGTCTGTCTCTAAACTGGCGGCCACTTATTTGTCTTTCTATGGCTTAAAAAAAACCTATTGTTTTTGAGTTTAATGCTACAGAATTAACAAAATAAAACCACAATGTATTTTTGATTTTTTTGTTTGTTTTTTTGTTTTAATATAATTAATATATTTAGAATTTTTATACAATTTGTTTATTAAACATTTTTTTTGTTAAAAAGCGTAGTAGTTTTGAGTTTTTTTTTATATGAATAGATGGGATTATATATAAAAATCATAAAGTAAATAATTAGTTTAGGTTTCAACTTAAATATTAACTATAAATTAAATATTAACTTAGATGTTTATAAAAAAATATGAGTTCACTAAAATTTAAGTGAAAGAAAGTTAAGAAAGAAAATTTTCCAAAATAAACAATTTTACTTAAAAGAAACTTAAATTATAAAAAAAAAAATTCAATTAGTTATTATTTTAAATATTTTTTTAAGATAAATATAATTATTTTTTTTTTATAGAAATTATTTTAGCTTAAAGGAATTTAAAGAAAATAAAATGAGTTTAGATGTTTTTACAATAGTTTGTTTATTTATTTAAATTTTTTTTTGGGGGGTATTGTTTTATATTTATTTTTTTTTAGTTTTTTATAAAGTTATTTACACTTATGTTTATTTATATAAAAAAAAAATTACTTTACACCTGAAAATCTATAAGCGTTTTAAATGGAAATTATTTGTTATTGTGTTTTTAAGATTTAGATATATTTTGGTTTCTGTTGTAAATTGATTTTTTGAAAAAAATATAACATGCATTCAAAAAATTTCAAAAAAAAAAAAATGTTTGAGTTTTTTTTTTTTTTTTTTTATATACAAAACATTTTTTAAAACAAATTTTTAGTTGTGTTTTTGTAACCTTAAAACAGGTTTAATTTATTGTTAAAAACTAAATCTTATTTTTTTGTTTAATTTTTTTCAGTTTTTAAAGACCTTGTTAAAAAAAAGTTTTAAATTTTTTTTTTTAGATTTTTAGTTAAAAATTATAATTAAAAAATTTGCTGTGCAAATTATGGCAATATTAATTAATTAAACCTTAATTTTAGTTTTATTAATAAAATTCCATTAATGTTTTTTCTAGTTTAGGGTTTTTTTTGTTTGTTTGTTTGTTTGCAATTTTTGTAAACTTTTTTTGTTGTAAAATTTATTGTCTTGCGTCTGTTTTTTAATAAAATTAAATAAAAAGAAAACTTAATTGGAAATTATAATTAAAAATAATAAGATGATATGATAAAGAAACTTTAAGGCCAAAGAAAACATTAAGAGAGAAGAGATTAAAAAGTATAAAAAGAGCTTTTAAGAGTTTTTGTATGGTTTGTTGTTGTTGTAACAGATTCCTTGCGATTGGGCGTTCTTCCCTGGGGAGCAAAGTTACAATTGTCGTGGTTACGAACAGAACGAATTGTTGTTTGTAGATCCTTTTTGGCAATTGTTTATAGGTTTTGTTCAGATTAGTTTTGGAGAGTTAGTTTAAACAAATTGGAACTTAGATTGTTTAGTGGGTTTTCTGAAGGGGCTTCCCTGGGGAGCGCAGTTACTATTTTGGTGGTAACGAATAGAACGAATTATTGTTTGTAGATCCTTTTTGGCAATTGTTTATAGGTTTTGTTCTGGTTAGTTTTGGAGAGTTAGTTTAAACAAATTGTAAATTAGATTATTTAGTGGATTTTCTGGATGTTCTTCCCCGGGGAACGAAGTTACAATTGTCGTGGTAACAGATCCCTTTGTTTATAGGTTTTGTTCAGATTAGTTTTGGAGAGTTAGTTTAAACCAATGGGAAATTAGATTGTTTAGTGGGTTTTAAGGTTATTTCTCTCTTAACATGTTTAAAGAGCAAATTTGGAACCAGTTTACCAGTTTCATGTTATGTTTTTGTTTCATTCTCTTAACTTTTGTTTTTATGCTCTCCAACAACAACTCTCTTTTGCTCTTTATAATGTTTTCTTAAGTTTCCTTTTTTTGCTTTAAAGTTTACTTTAAAAAGATTAGTATTTTGTTAATTTTGATGACAAAAAAAAAAAATTAAAAATAAAAACTAAACAAAATAAAAAAAACTTAATTTTTAAAACAAAATCAATTGAAATGATAATAAAAAAAAGTGAAATGAACAAATGAATATTAGTGTTTTTAGTTCTCAATGAAGTCTATATCCTCAACTTACAAAACTACTTTTAGTGGATTAGTTTTCAACAAAATGAAATGTGAAAATGTAAACCAGCGGTTAGTACAAAAGGTTAGTTAAGTTTATGAAAAAACTAAAAAAATTAAACTAAATATAAATTCATTAAAAGAAATCATAAAACTAAAAAATTAACTAAATCATAAGTTGGCACAAGACATTTTAAAAATTATAAGTTTTGAAAAGTCTACTTGGAAAAAAAAAACTTTATAAAATTAAATTTCAACTAAGGTCAGTAAATAAATTTTTAAGATTTAAGTTTTCCTAAACTGTTATATACATTAAAAATATAAAGAAAAAAACAATTTATTGCTAAATGTTTAAAAAAAAAGAATTGGTTAAATACTTCTTTAAAATTGGAAAAAACAAAAGAAAACTTAAAATCTTGTTTTTTTTTTTTTGTAGAGAAAGTGTAATTGTTATTGTGTTTGTTTTTGTTTTGTATTTATAAACTACAGTCTTAAACTTAAGATCATTTTATATGGAATTATTTATGTGTATATATGTGTGTGTGTGTTTTAGGGATATTTTTTTCCTTTTTTTTTTTAGCTTTTTACATTAAAAAATAATAATAATAATAATTTTTAACACTAAAGGGTTAATAATAATAATTTATACTACATAAACTTAGGTTAAAAAAAAGAATAATTACTTTTAGTTTTTTTTTTGAGTGTGGTTTGTTTTTTTGAGTGTATTAGCAGTGTAAGAAGTTAATAATAAATTAAATTTACTTAACATATTTTGTGGTGCAGGGGGGGAGGGGGTAGTTAGATGTATTATAATAAAAAGATGACAACCACACTTTTTTAAAGGAGGCAGGTAACGAGAGAGTAATATTCCTTTGTTTCTTTACTTGACAAGCTGTTGCTTATGTAGAGGTAGGGGGAGGGAGGGGCGGTATGAGGAAGGGGCAGTGTTTAAATTTTACTTGTTTAACCACCAAGTCTTATAATCTTTTGTTACAAACGCAAACCAAAAAAAAACTCAATTTGTGGTTTTAAGATTTTGATGATTTTCATCATCTTCATCTATAATGCCCATGGGTTTGCGACTAGAGGCGGGTGGTGTTAATAAACCATCGGGACACATAAGACCAGTAGCTGGTGAAGCTTCTTGTTTGATTTTTGTGGCCATGGCCAAGATTTCTTCTTGTAATAGGCAAGCACGATCCTAAAAGGAAACAAACAAAAAAACATAACAAATTAATATTTTGCTACAAAACCCTTAAAATATTTTTTTAGAAATTATAAAAAAATTAACCACAAATACTTACAAACATTGTCATTGTTGTGGTATGAGTTTGTATGATATGTGAATCGTCGGTTACAATATTAGGGCATATATGACCCAAACCAAATTTAGTGGTAATTTGTTCATTTTGTTCTAATAAATGTAAATTATGGGATTCTTCAGATATCACTTCAAAGAAAGGCTGCATCCATCTAGCACAAGGCTGTATGGTTTGCCAATCTAAACCCGAACAACGTAAAGCAGTTTCTCTGTTAAAAACAAAAAAAAAAAAAGAAATAAATTAAAAATTTGTTAAAGTCATTTCCGCCAGATTAGTGGTTATTTTTAGTCTAGTTGTTGTGGGTTTGTTTCCCAACTGAAGTACAACAGGCCCTCCTTTCAAACTAACTAACTAATTAGAATATGATTTCTTTAATTAGCCACAAACTTACCTATTAAAGGTATGTGACATAGCTGCAGCTGCCACCACTGAATAGGGGAAATTGCCAGCGCCTACATCCAGCGAACACAAATCCAATAATTGAGCGGTTTGTACAAATTCTAAACCCGAAAATTGTGGATAAATGAAAGCATCATCGACTTCACAATTTTGTAATTTAGTATTAAGGGCAGGTTGTTGTTGTTGTTGATGTTTTAATGAGGCAGTATTTGTTGTTGTTGTTGTGCTGGAGGCGGAGGATTTATTAGTTTTAACATTTTTATTTCTATGCTTTTGAGCAGTTTGAAACGAGGCAGGTGTACGATTATTAACATTCAATTGCATATAAACACCCAACCAACCAATGGGCGTTACCGGACTAATACTCCATTCTAAAGCTTGCAAAAGTAAAATTTCATGTTGCAAGATATCGGATTCTTGGCAAGCACCATCGGTGACATAGGCAAATTCACCAATTTTGGGTGGGTAGATTTCTTCAACTTTGGCCGCCACAAACAGACAGGTAATACCGATCAATTGTAAATGGGTTTTTTGTACATTCTTCTGGGCACTCAGATAACGATCCAAATAATCAACAGCCAAATAGTAGGTCTCACGATGTAGTTTATAAACTTCACATACCTCTATCAACCAATCGAGTAGTATGGCGCGCATGCGTGGCTGTAAACCGGGATGATGATCCAACATATTGCAATCTCTTAAGCAGGAAGCCTGTTCATCTTTTTTGCACATCAATTGCCAGACATCATGAGCATTGGCCCATGATAAAGCGGGCAAGGGGCATTGTCTGGGTGGTTCAGGATCAGCAGCCGGTGTCATACAGTCATCGTAATGGCTATTTAAATACTCATCGAAAGATTTTACCTTGGGCTGTTGTTGTTGGTGTTGTTGCGACAAATGTGAGGCGGATGTTTTGCTGGAGTTTTGTGTTTTACCGGTAGATAATCTCTGGCCTGGGGTACGTTCACCATGATGTACAGCAGCATTAGCAACCTCAACGTTAGTATTTTGTTGCTGTTGTGTTCTAGCGGCAGGATTATAAATTTGTGATATTTTTGTGGAAACAGTTGAACAGGGTGAGGCTGATACAATATCATCTACATCATCATCATCTGTTATATGATCACTATCATCATCTTCTTCATCAACTTCATGTGGTAGTTCATCATCATCATCTTCTATTTCGTGATCAACATATTCATCTTCATGCCGTAAACTGTTGGGACTGTCTGGTATGGCCTCATTGACTACCTCAAAGTCTGTTCCAGTCGATAGACATTCCGATGAACTGCGTGTATCGATTTCTTGTGCCAAAATCTCATCAACTGGTGATGGATAGACAGAGGAGACCACCGAACCATTGTCACTTTGATAGAGTGATGGTAAGCGTTGTTGACGTTTGGCAGAGGGTTCAAAGCCCAATTCGGGGTCCTGTAAATGGTAAGAAAAGAAAGGAATTTATGAGTTTCATTTAATCAAGTAAGAAATTTGAAGGAAAATCTTAAAATTACTAAAGAATTAGATTAATTTTCTACGGATGTAATGAAAAACTAACTGTGGATCTCTTCATATTTTCAAATTTTAGTCAGAATTTTCAATAAAGTATTGTGGAAACTTTGAGCCAGAATTTATAACAAAACCATTCTATTTCTGTTGCATTTTCAAATGTTCTCTTTTTTTTTCAAACTAAAATAGATTCTTTTAATGACTTTCTAACACACAATCCTCCACATTTGTTTTGTATGTATACTTAAGTTTTCCTTTTACCTATTTTCAATATCTAAAGATTTGATAAATAGCAATTTAAATGCTCAAACACATTTAAGCCCCTTCTTTTTTTTCTCTCTCTTAAGCAACAACTTGTTGTATGTATTTTTAAACACCAGCGTACCAAAGGAAACTTAAAATTAATGTTAGTTATAAGGGTTAAAAAGTGTATTAAATAGAAATATTTTCATTTACCATTTCGATGACTTTTCTTTTGCGCTCACACTTCATAATAACATAAAATGTCTGATTCACTGCCACTGCTACAAATAGTTTTTGTTTGTTTGGTGAAAAACTCTCTTAATTGTTTTTCTTTTTTTTTTTAGTTTTCTTTGATGTTTGTTGTTGTTTTTTGTAAAATGAAAACACTTTTCCGGTTTTATGTTAAAAACCAGATTTTGAATTGAAAATTTTTTTTCTTAGAATTTTATTCACGTGGAATTAAGATTAAATAATACGAGATAGAGAATGTATTGTAAAAGAGCGAGAAAGTTTTGAAAATAAAATTTTGGTTTTAAAATTTTTTTTTTAGTTAAATATTGCACTTTAACTTTGTAAAAATACAACAGTCTTTGGTTTTTTTAAAGATTTTTTGTTTAATTTTCAATTTTAATAAAATAATTTTTTAAAATTTCATTTTCTTTTCAATTATTTAAACTTTTTTGTTTAAAAGAGATCTTTTTTTTTAAATTTTGTACTTTTTTTTTTTTGTTAAACGAAATAATTTAATGCGTTTGCGTGGTGTTGACGCATTGACTTTCCTGATGGAACTGAATATGAAATGTTAAAGAATTCAAGCATGTCCTCAAAAAGTAACGAATATATGAGGGTTGTTTTTGTACTCTATATCTTTCAGTCTAACGTTTACTCTCAACAACTAATCATATATAGTCTGTCTCTGTTTATGCTTAAATGAAAGATCTTAGTACTCGTCATTGGGATCACACAAGGATCTAAGGTTTTATTACTTTTCTTACCCTTAAAATTTGAAAGCAAAAACGGTTTTAACGAAGGTTAGTTTAAAAGAAACGAAACAATTAAAACCTTAAAGATCCTTTTTAAGTAAAAATAAAATGCAAAAACAAAATATATACAAAAACAAGCAGTTATACATTCTTAACAATAAGTTAAAGGAAACTATTCATATTGCAACAACAACAACTTAAACATCTACAAATCTCAGAGGATCATTGATCCTTTTTACAAAACAAAAACTAAAAAAGAAGATTTTTGTCAACCCAGGTACCTAGACAAACTTCAAATGTATGCCTAAGTATAAGGAAAATCTTTAAAAAATTAAACAATTTACATTTTATACCTAAAATTGTTGTTGTTTCTTTTTATATACAAATATAAATAAACAACAATTTATATATGATGCAATTGCTTAAATAATGCACAATTTTTCTACCAAAAACAACTTGGTTTTTTTTTAAAGGCTACAAGGTCACTGCTATTTTCAAGAAAAATATCATCACTTAGATTTTTTCTCATAAATCTTTATTAAATTATTATTTAAACAAACTATAACAATTTCTTTAGAAATTCCTACATCTCTTAAGCTTTAGTACAAAGACAGCATCCCTTATTCCAGGGCTTTTAATAAAATTTAAAACACAATTATTCACATTAAAGGCTAGTTTTCTAAAATCTGCCATAAACAATATTGCAAGCCAGATAAGAAAAGTCATTCCTCCCCTGTATTTCTTGGCTTAAGAAAGCATAACAAATTTTGATTTGTATCCAGCCTTCTTTAAATTTAAATTTTTTGCTTTATTTCTTTTCTTTTTCTTAGAGAAAATGTCACAGTTCATTAAAATTAAAGCATCGTAAAAATGATGAAGTATCTATTGGCATATTATTGTAAATTGTTTAATTTAGAAAAAAAGAGAAAAAGAAGTTGGTCAAAAAAAAAAAAGCAGATGTTTTTTTGCTAAATAATAAAATGATTCCGCATTGCCTTGGGAGACTTAAAGAGATTATACGACAGCAGCCATAAATCATGGGTATCTTGAGGAATAATGAAAAGTTCAAGAAGAAAATTTTCTAGAAATAAACAGCTGAACTTTTTGACCAGTGATCATAAACAGTTTGAGAAAAGTTTTTGAAAAAAAGAAATCAATCAAATAGAAAATTTTTATGAGAGCGAAAAAGCAATAAAAATGTGAAAAGAAAACTGTCTCGAAGATAAAATACTCCACTTTAAAAGTAAGCATTACTTTAGAAAGAAGATCAGTTTTATTTTGCGATCAAAGAAACTTTAGATAAGTAATTTTTGTTTAAGAAAATATTGAAAACTTTCTTAGGGGGATCCTGGCATACTGGGGGTCTTAATAAAGGTAATAGGTTCTTTGCTTTCTAACAACTTAAATTGGACTTTTTATATACCAGATTGACAAATAGGTTTCAAGAAAAGCAATATCTTTTATCATTAGAAATGCAATGTAAATTTAATTAAAGGGGGATCACAGACCAGTGGTACCTTAAAGAAAGTCAAGATTCAAGCAAACAGAATAATAAAAAAAAGAGAGCACATAAAAAGAGAAAGGATTGTAACTAGACAGAGGCACAAGGTATTCAACCTGGAGCCTGAAACTAAATGGTTTCATATCCCAAAAGAAGGAAATGATAGATCAGAATCCTCACTATAATCTACAATCGAATTACAATTACAGTTCTATCCTATTAACTTAAAGAGGTTTATATGTTGCAACTTAAAGTTTTTCTCATGAAATGTTCAAGGAACTTTCATTTATCTTAAATAAGATCACATTATAATATTCGAAATTTTCTCTGTTTTAAACCTTAATCTTCAGAGAATTAAAAGAAATTCCTAATTAAAGAAAACAGGATGAAAATGTGAGGTAATTAGAAAAAACCCAAATGAATTTCTTGTGACATTTGCTATCCTTACTTAATGCTTAGCTCAGAGATTACTTGATAATTCAAGTCTAACGAAAACATTTTCGAATTACAATTGATCTTCTAAGGACAACTTTAGTTGAAAACTGGCGTTTTGTTTAGTTTTGTAACAGTTCGACAGTTCTGTTTGTGTTCCAGTTTAGTTCAGTTCTAGTTTAGTTCTAGTTCAATTCTTCTTCAGTTCTAGTTTAGTTCTAGTTCAATTCTAGTTCAGTTCTAGTTCAGTTCTAGTTCAGTTCTAGTTCAGTTCTAGTTCAGTTCTAGTTCAGTTCTAGTTCAGTTCTAGTTCAGTTCTAGTTCAGTTCTAGTTCAGTTCTATTTCAGTTCTAGTTCAGTTCTAGTTCAGTTCTAGTTCAGTTCTAGTTCAGTTCTAGTTCAATTCTAGTTCAGTTCTAGTTCAGTTCTAGTTCAGTTCTAGTTCAGTTCTAGTTCAGTTCTAGTTCAGTTCTAGTTCAGTTCTAGTTCAGTTCTAGTTCAGTTCTAGTTCAGTTCTAGTTCAGTTCTAGTTCAGTTCTAGTTCAGTTCTAGTTCAGTTCTAGCTCAGTTCTAGTTCAGTTCTAGTTCAGTTCTAGTTCAGTTCTAGTTCAGTTCTAGTTCAGTTCTAGTTCAGTTCTAGTTCAGTTCTAGTTCAGTTCTAGTTCAGTTCTAGTTCAGTTCTAGTTCAGTTCTAGTTCAGATCTAGTTCAGTTCTAATTCAGTTCTAGTTCAGTTCTAGTACAGTTCTAGTTCAGTTCTAATTCAGTTCTCGTACAGTCCTAATTCAGTTCTAGTTCAGTTCTAGTTCAGTTCTAGTTCAGTTCTAGTTCAGTTCTAGTCCAGTTCTAATTCAGTTCTAGTTCAGTTCTAGTTCAGTTCTAGTTCAGTTCTAGTTCAGTTCTAGTTCAGTTCTAGTTCAGTTCTAGTTCAGTTCTAGTTCAGTTCTAGTTCAGTTCTAGTTCTAGTTCAGTTCTAGTTCAGTTCTTTTGTCAACACATCAAACATTTTCAAGCACATTTTTTCTAAAACCTAACCAATAGTTCCCAAACACAACAGCGCGCAGGCAAATCTTCTATTCAAAACTCCTTAGGTGGTTTACTTAAGATTGCATTGTACTAACTGCAACACACATCTGTCTTCAAAATTTCTATTTATCCAAATAGACAAACAACACAAATTGTTTAACACAAGAGATAGCAATCACTTTTGGAAAAACACAAACTACATGAGGTAATATTTATTAAAATATTTTGCAATTATCCTTAACATTTCTATAAGGCTCTTAAAATATATAAATATCCAAGACTATACCCAACTAAACAGAGTAATATTAAACTCATTTTAAATGCTTGATTTAAAATGCAATAGTAAGCAACTAAATAGAGCATTTAAGCGAGAAAAATTAAAGATGATAGTTTGGAAGACGTTTAAAACAAGATACAGAACATATGTTTAATATAACAATTAGTTAAATTTTGAAACTAACTAAAAGAGCTTAACTAATTTGTTAAGACTATAAAAAAATAAACTATAAATCCTACTATCCATACTACTAGTATGCGGCCTCAGGTCATTCAATTAACTTTATTATCCTTATCATTTTTGTCAATAAAAAGTGGCAGATGATTGAAATTTTCTTACAACTTTTATTGTTTCTTTTTCGAACAGAATAGATAAGTCTTGCAGCAAATGTTGGAAAATCTTTAAATATTTTCTTTTGATATAATTTTTTTTGTGTCCCTTTTGCTAAACAAAAAGGAAACCTT